ATAATACTAGCACTTTATGTAGTTAATTGGTTGTAGTATTGTTTTAAGTATTTTAATTGTTGTAATTGTAATTTATGCATTGTTTTATGTAAGCCGCCCTGAGTTGGCTTCGGCTGGAAGGGCGGGGTAGAAATCTGATAAAATAAAAAAATAAATATACCTTGGAAATCTTGTTGGTCTTTACAGTGCTACTGTGCATGGGCCTTGCTCTTCCATTGCACACCAGCATGGCTACCAGTTTGGAGAGCCAGTTTGGTGTAGTGGTTAGGAGCACGGACTCTAATCAGGGAGAACCGGGTTTGATTCCCCACTCCTCCCCATGCAGCTGCTGGTGTGACCTTGGGTCAGTCACAAGTTCTTTCAGAGCTGTTCTCTCAAGGGCAGTCCTTGAAAGGGCTCTCTCAACCCCACCTACCTCACGGGGTGTCTGTTGTGGGGAGGGGAAGGGAAAGGAGATGTAAGTCATTCTGAGACTCTAAGTGAAGGGCATTGTATAAATCCAAACCTTCTCCTCCTCCTCCTCTTCTTCTTCTTCCCACTTGAAACACTGAACATTGCAGCTAGCAGTCATCGATGGACCTCTCTTATGCCGTGAATTTATCTAATTGCCTTGTACAGCCATCTAAGCCATTACTACATCTTGTGGCACTGAGTACCGCAAGCTCAAGTGTGCGTTGAGTGCAAAAGAAATCCTATACTCAGATCCCCTCACATAAGGGAGGCATTCTAAGGAAGGCTTTCTGAGTGAAAAAAGGTTCCCTTGCTCGATAGCCAGTCGAGTCCGACTCTAGGGTTGCGGTGCTCATCTCCGTTTCAAAGCCGAAGAGCCAGCGCTGTCTGAAGACGTTTCCGTGGCCATGTGGCCGGCATGACTAAACACCGAGGCGCACGGAATGCTGTTACCTCCCCACCGAAGTGGTACCTATTTATCTACTTGCAATTTCTTGCTTTCAAACTGCTAGGTTGGCAGGAGCTGGAACTAGAGACGGGAGCTCACTCCGTCATGCGGCACACTCAGGTCTCGAACTGCTGAACTACCAACCTTCCACAGCCTGCAGTTCAGCGTCTTAACCACTTGAGCCACCGCAGCTCCTTCTGAGTGAAAAGATGGGGCCATAAGGCCTAAACCCATAATCCTGATTACCCTTAAATAACCCACACCCCCAGCTCGTTGTGAATGTGGCCAGGGGCTCCAGGGAGGTCTTAAAAGAAGTTCTTACCGAAGGGGAGTGATCCTCGTAAGCTTGCAAAACCTTTGGCATGTGGACAAATATGACGTGCCCTGACCTGGATAGCCCAGGCCAGCCCGATCTGGTCAGATCTTGGAAGCCAAGTAGGGCCGGCCCTGGTGAGGACTCGGATGGGAGACCACCGAGGAAGTCTGTCACTGCTGTGCAGAAGCAGGCGGTGGCGAACCACCCCTCTCCCTCTCTTGCCTCAAAAACCTTCCGGGGGTCGCAGTAAGTCAACCTGAGGGCCAACTAAACAGACACACATAAAAGCGAGGCCCTCGAAAGCAGAGTGAGGCAGGTGCTTGGCAGCCCGGCCTCAGCCGTTTCTGTTGGTTACCATAGGAGGAACTCCCCGCGGTTCTTCTTTTCACCCCCCTCCTCCCCAGGCTGGGAAAGTAGCAGGCCCGTGGGGTGCAGGGAGCCTGGCTGCGGCCCCAGACCGGGCAGGGAGCCACCCCCTGGCTGAGACTGCCCGACTAGGAAAGGGTTAGCTTAAGCTGCGGGGCCTGACCGAGAGTTACCTCCAAGCCCCCTCTCCCGAATTCATGACTGGCTTCCAAAGGGGTGGGCTGAGGTGGGTTGGCATGGCAACCGAGGTGGGGTGATGTGGCAAGGCCTGTGGGACGCGGCCTCCTTTCGGAGTTCTCTCCCCCCCTCCCTTTCAAGTCCTGGGATAGAGCGCTTTGTCCCCAAGCAGAGGGGTCAGCGAGGTGACCCTCTTGCCCCGTGGACTGGAGGAACCCCTCGTCAGCCCCCTTGTTCAAAGCACGTTCTTTGGAGGAGCATTAAGAAGCCCAGAGAGTCCGGCTGAGCAGATTATGAAAAGCACAATCCCGCTTCCCCTTTGTTGTGTGTGCGCACGCGCATGCATGTGCGGTGTGTGTGTATGAGAGACAGAGGGGGGGTGTGTGTCTTGGAACAGGAGGGGGGCATCCTTTGGGGGCACAGAGATGCCCCAGGCTCCCTGCATTATCCCACATTGTTTGAAGGGAAAGGCTATGGTGGCTCAGGTAGACAGCATCTACTTAGCAGGCAGTGGTCCTCTGTCGGCACTGGGAAAGGCCTTTCCTGGCTAGACAGCAGCAGCAGCCAGAGGGAGGGACCAGACTTGGGTTGATGGATGCGGGATAAGACGACCCCCTTCCCTCCTGTACATGGACAGCAAAGATGCAAGAGGGGGGCCAGAATGGGGCTAAGAGGTACAGCTCCCTGCCCCGATTCTCCCCAGCAGAGTATTTTTTGAAAACCAGACTTTGCAATTTGTGGCATTACTGCTTGCATTTAAGGTGGGTGTTTGTGTGAGTGAGTGAGAGAGAGAGAAAGAGAGAAGATGCTTGTTTTTAAAACAGGCATTTTTGTGTGTCTTCAAAAAGAAGGATCCAGTTCTGACATCTCCCTTCTAGACCCAAAGAGGGCAGAACCAGTGAGCGTTCTCCGGTCCCTGCAGCTGCGGCCCACGCTGGATGGGCTTCCACTTGGCACACCCTTGAAGCTGCCTGCCTGAATTTCAGTGTTATTGGTGTTCAGTCGCACAGTCAAGTCCGACTCTTCGCGACCCCATGGACCAGATCCCACCAGGCCTTCCTGTCTTCCACCGTCCTCTGAAATTTGCTCAATTTCATGTTGGTTGCATCAATGACGCTGTCTAACCATCTCATCCTTTGCCGCCCCCGTCTTCTTTGACCTTCAGTCTTTCCCAGCATCAGGGTCATCTCCAGTGAGGGCTCCCTCCTCAGTTGGTGGCCAAAGTATTTGAGCTTCAGTTTCATTATCTGGCCTTCCAGGGAACAGTCAATTTGAGTGTGCCGGAGAGCAAAGTAGGAACGCAGTGACAGAGCCCTCTGTGTGTGTGTGTGTGTGTGCTGGGCCAAGGGGGACTGAAATGGACTGCGTCCCTTCAGGCAGGAGATGGGAGGGTCCAGGTAGGAATGTTTCTTTTCATTAAAAAAAATATCTCCCTGCACTGGCACAGGAGGGGAAAAGACTCCGCCACCCCTTTGCTTGTGGTGTTGGGCCTCTCCCAGCAGGGAGTCGCTTTTATAGGGGAGCGTTCCAGCAGTTGGCCCTCTGTCAGCAGACAGCCCAGCCAGCCTGGTGTAGTGGTTAAGAGTGTCGGTTTAGGACCTGGGAGACTCAGGTTCAAATCAGTGTTCCCTCTAAGCTGAGTCCGTGTGAGCTAGCTCACAGTTCTTTAGCCTCCGGCTCACACATTTTTTGTCTTAGCTCAGGAAGGAGGGCTCCAGAGCCAACTGATGTATGCAGCAGCCCAATGGCTCGCTCACAACTTTAATGCCAGTGGCTCACAAAGTAGAATTTTTGCTCACAAGACTCCCATCTCCTGCTGAAGCATTGGTTCGAATCCCCACCGGTGTCATGGAAGCTCGCTGGGTGACCTTGGCCCAGTCACACACACTCAGCCTAACCTACCTTACGGGGTTGTTGTGAGGATCAAACAGAGGAGAGGAGAACCAGGTAAGCCGCTCTGGGTCCCCCTTAGGGTTGAAAGGGAGAATATAAGTAAAGCGACCCATCTGGTCACCTCCTTCTCCTCCAGGAGTGAGCCAGGAGGGAGACCCGGAGAGGAAGAGAAGCCCCCTTCATTTCCCTCCACCCCTCTTCTGCATGAACGCCAGAGACCCTTGGAAAGATGGGACCCAGCCAGGGCGGCTTCCTTCCAGGGTGACCCGAGGGGGCTATAAAGCAGTCCGGCTGGCTTCCTCTGCCACCTCTACTACTTCCACCACTGAAAGAACTGGGTTGGGTCCAATGCTCCCTCTAAGCTGTGGAGTCCTGAGAGCAAAAATTCTACTTTGTGAGCCACTGGCATGAAAGTTGTGAGCGAGCAATTTGGCTACTGCATAAATTAGTTTGCTCTGGAGCCCTCCTTCCTGAGCTAAGACAAAAATGTGTGAGCCAGAGGCTAAAAAACTGTGAGCTAGCTCACACTAACTCAGCTTAGAGGGAACACTGGTTGGGAGTGGTCCCCGGAAGAACTGCCATCATTCTGCATGGCACTGATGCTGCTGGACTGGCCTGGACCATCGCCAGGACAATTTAACCAGAATGAAATGATCGATACCATCTTCAGAGACCATCTCGTTTGTATGGAGCACTTTGTTTTTGTTGTGACTTAATAGTTTTTACTGTTTTATACTGTCTTTATGTATGGGCTTGTGCCCCCCCCCCCTGTAAGCCGCCCTGAGCCCGTTCGTGTGGGGAGGGCGGGGTAAAAATGCAATAAATAAATAAATAAATTCCACAGCGCTTGTACCCCAGCACCTCCCCGGCCAGGGATCCAGCAGCACTCCAGCCGGCAGAGCGCCCAGGGCAGGTGCCTCTTCTCTGCTGACAGCTGCGCCCCATGCGCTGCCCCCGGTCCGGACCAGTGTTCCCTCTAAGTTGAGTTAGTGTGAGCTAGCTCACAGCTTTTTAGCCTCCGGCTCACACATTTTTGCCTTAGCTCAGGAAGGAGGGCCCCAGAGCACACCAATTTATGCAGGAGCCAAATCGCTGGCTCACAACTTTAATGCCAGGAGCTCGCAAAGTAGAATTTTTGCTCGCAGGACTCCACAGCTTAGAGGGAACATTGGCCTCTGCAGCCTGCCTCAAGGGATGGGGGGGGGGGGAGGTGACAGCAGATTCGTCGGGCCTCTCACGCCAGAGAGACCGACCGACCACCGGGCTTTCTCCTCCTGCTCCGAGGGAGCCACAGCGGCTAAGCGGAGCCTCCCGGCCGGGGATCGAACGCTGCGGACACACGACGTCCGGATGGACAGAAGCCTGGTGGCCGGACTGGACGGGCCACTGGTGGACCCAGCCCGGGCCAAAGCGGCGGCCCCTTTCGGAGCCCGAGCCCCGGCACCGCCTTCGTCTGGAAAGCGTGCAAAATCACGCCAGAGTGGCCAGACCCCCGCCTCTCTCTCCCAAGCGCCCCTGCCTCCGCTCCCCCCACCCCAGTGAGGCGCTGTCAATCTTCGACGGGGGGGGGCTCTCCTCGCCCTCCTCGCGGCGCTGCCTCTGCCTCCGGGGACTCCAGACCTGCCCCCTCCCCGCCCGGAGCCCTGAGCCGTCGGGGGGGGGGGGGGGGGG